TGATTTGCTGTAGAGAAGCAAAGACGAGGAAATCTTCACATAAGAAATTTTGTCTGATAAAAGAAAATGAAAAGGCTTTAAGAGTCTTTACTTTACCAGATTAAAAATATTATTGATAGAAGACGCGGAGACACGGTCCGAGCGGCATGGTTCAGTCCTGTTAAATCCTGGTTAGACCTGGTTTAGACCTGGTTTAGTCCTGGTTTAGACTTTGTTTAGACCTGGTTTAGTCCTTGTTTAGACCTGGTTTAGACCCGGTTTAGATCTGGTTTAGACCTGGTTTAGACCTGGTTTAGTCCTTGTTTAGACCTGGTTTAGACCTGGTTTAGTCCTGGTTGTAGACCTGGTTTAGACCTGGTTTAGTCCTTGTTTAGACCTGGTTTAGACCTGGTTTAATCCTTGTTTAGTCCTGGATTAGTCCTGGTTTAGTGTCTGACAATGAGTGGAATTACCGAGAAAAAAAAAAGGGGATATAGCCCCAAATGTGAAAACGGGAAAATACCGCCATGTAATCCATTTATTTCAACAAAGTAACTGTAACTGAATACAGTTACTCATAATTTGTACTCTGATTATGTAACTCCGGTACAAGTAATCTGTTACTCCCCAACACTTCTAAGGACACAACAGTTTTTGTGACTGGCGCCCCCTGTGGCCCCTGATTTTCCCAGCACTCTCCTGTCCAAGTTCTAACCAGACCCGACCTCTGAGCTTCTGAGATCTGAAGGATCTGACAGGATTTGACAAACCCGGTATGTCCACAGAATCATTATGAGGAGCCGATGATCCAGGCGAGCGTTTGTGTTTCCTTTTAGGTGTTTCCAGCTGAAATGTGACTGTAGCTCTGGGGTTTGGACATGGTCAGCTCACTCATGTCCAAACCCCAGAGCTACAGTCACACTTCAGCTGGAGAGACATAAACCCACTTTAAGTGAGTGAGCTGATCTTAGAGATGAGTGGTGCCAGTTTAGCCTTTAGCAACAAAGTACCAATCACAACAAAAGGGAACAAACAGAAGTTAAAGACAAGAAACTCTGTGAAAACTACAAGTGCCTTGTCAACTAAACATCATCAGTTTGTGTTTACATGGAGCTTTATAGGAAAAGTGTGTTCTGGGCTGCAGAGGAGATGTTGTTGAATTTCCAGTGGGCTGGGCATGAGTCAGACTTGTGACAGGTTGAAGATGGCAACAGCCTATTCAGATTTTGAACAGATCCATGGTGTGAGTAATGGAAACTGTTGGCTAATGCTATTTTGTGTCTATAATGTCACTGGAGAGACACTTGAACAGCACAGATCAGTTCACCTGTTGTAGTTGAATTCAATTCTTTCTCTCTAGATTGTGTTAAAGCTCAGACTAAGGCTACCGCCACATGACAACACTCCTGGATTTTTTTGTTGTGGGTTGAAAAAAATTTGTGTCCACACATGTGTCAGATCAGTAAATATTCACGTCCAGACGACAGCGGAGCACTGAGTGAAAATGATGTAATACCTGTGCCACACCTGTATGTGGCGCTGTTAACAATGATAATAATATTTAATAATGCAGATCTCATCATAATTTTTTTTTTTTTTTTTCCTTTAAGGTAATTTTAACTTATTTTATATATATTCTAGAAATATAGCTGTTTTGTTTTGCAAAACTTAAGCATAAGTTTTTTGTTTTGGTAACATTTTATAATAACTACACCTTATTTAGCCTTAATAAAGCATGAACAAAGACTTAATGAATAATGATTCACACTTAGTAACTATTTAATTACTAAATGAATTAGCACTTAATTTGCACTTAATTTGCCTGTGCTGTAAATAGTTACTCAATACTTCTTAATTACTCATGAACTAACCATTTGCATATTTGCAAATGTATATTTAAGTTCACATTTGAGCATTTATTAATCATTAATAAGCTATGAGAGAATGATTTACTAATAATGCAATGCAATGATCATTCAGGCAGCTGTTATCTGTTAGTTAAGTCTTTCTGAGAGCTTTTCTAAAGTGAAGACTAATTATGTTTATTAAGCATTTGTTAAGGTTGGTCAAATTCCAGAGAAACAATAATACATTACTAGTAAATCATTCTCTCATGGCTTACTAATCATTAATAGATGCTCAAATTTGTACTTAAATATACATTTACAAATGCACACACAAATGGTTAGTTCATGAGTAATTAAGTAAGAAATACTTATGAGTAACTATTTACAGCACAGGTGAATTAAGTACAAGTTAAGTGCTAATTCAGGTAATAATTAATTACGTGAATCCTTATTAATTAAGTCTTTGTTCATGCTTTATTAAGGCTAAATAATGTGTAGTTATTATAAAGTGTTACCTTTGTTTTTAGTCATAAGTTTTGGATGAGAATTATTAGAATAACTTGGTCTGAAAATCCAACAGTTTAATTCCCCGTGTGTAATCTTTGTTATTGATCCGTGTGTGTAATCTGCGTGGTGTGTGTTGTTAGAATTAGCGTGTCTCGGTTGCTGGGCGACGGGAGCAGCTCTGTAGGCTACACCTGTCACATGTCAGCAACAGCCTTGTGGTCCGCGGAGGCCAGTTCGAGGTCTGCAGCCTTCACTGCATCGGACGACCCTGGCGATGATGTGGTCGGGACATCATTGTTTTCCAAAAGTTCTCAAAAAACAAAATTTTCACCCACGCAATACGCCGGCGCCGTGGGGACAAACGGCCAAAACAAATCATCTCTGTTTCGACCATAAAACATTGTGTGGACAGACCCTAAAGCTAACTGGAATAACAGAGCTTCAGACAGAGCAGTGCCTCCTGTTAGCTTTATGCTTAAATACAGTTAACTTCAGTTGTTGTTACCGGGCCACGTTGATTCCCAGAGCCGTCCTGGTCTCCTCTCCTCCTCTCTGGTCGATGCTCCGAGCTGCCTCCACCACATCCTCCACCGTGAGGTACTCCCCCAAACTGAACTCATGCACCACAGACGAGCCGTACTGCACCACCCCGACCTGCAGGGGGAGCACACAGGACATTACTGCACGCCTAAGAGGACGAGTTAGAGTGAATAAAATACAACGTAACAGTAAAATATACCACCACAAAACTCTTAGGTAGAATGAGATGTTGTCATTTGTTTTGATTAGTCTGTTATAATTATTGTGTAATTTAAATTAAAGTTTTGGCCCTTGTTAACATTATGGTTGTTAGGTTGCTGTCGACTCTGGCTCTATCCCTCTCCAGGCAGGTGTGGCAGATTTGCAACAGCTAAATGGCAATTACCTACTTACTCCACATCCATATTCAGTGTTGGGAAGGTGACTTTTAAAATGTATTCCCCTACAGATTACAGATTACATAGCCCAAAATGTAGTTTGTAACGGAATCCAAGTTACTTAAAGTGAGTAACGTAATCTGAATACTTTGGATTACTTGATTTGCTGTAGAGAAGCAAAGATGAGGAAATCTTCACATAAGAAGTTTTGTCCACTAAAAGACAATAAAAAAGCCCAGACTTTACTTAACCAAATTAAAATATATTATTGATAGAAGACGAGGAGACACAGTCCGCACGGCATGATTTAGTCCTGTTAAATCCTGTTTGAGACATAGTTTAGACCTGGTTTTAGACCTGGTTTAGATCTGGTTTGGATCTGGTTTTAGACCTGGTTTAGACCAGGTTTGGACCCGGTTTACACATGGTTTTAGTCCTGGTTTTAGTCCCGGTTTAGACCTAGTTTAGACCTGGTTTAGACCTGGTTTTAGACCTGGTTTAGACCTGGTTTTAGACCTAGTTTAGACCTGGTTTTAGACCTGGTTTAGACCTGGGTTAGACCTGGTTTTAGACCTGGTTTAGACCGGGTTTAGTGTAATGAGTGGAATTACCGAAAAAAATAATAATGGATTTAGCCTAAAATGTGAAAACAGGAAAATACCTCTGTGTAATCCATTTATTTCAACCAAGTAACTGTAATCTAATTACCACTCATTGAAATAGTAACTGTAACCGAATACAGTTACTCATAATTTGTACTCTGATTACGTAACTCCAGTACATGTAATCTGTTACTCCCCAACACTGCCCATATTTTATGAGCCTTTTTTACTCAGGAGCCTTTTTTCCCATCCATGCTGATAAACGTGGACGATGCAGACTGTGCAAGAATGGCTCCACACAAACGACCTGCCAGAAGTGCAAAGTACTTGTGCTTTACAAAGGATAAAAATAGTTTCTTGGAGAACCACATGAAAAAGTGATCTATACCAAGTTGTTTTGATTGTTGCTCTGCCACTGTAAAGCTGTTACACTGAGCTTTATGTTTTCATTGTTATGAAAAGTGGTATACAAATAAAGTTAGTGTTCATATCATTTTCAGTCTTCAGTGTTAATTTACCACACCAGACCAATGCTGCAAATCTGCAACATCCCAGAACACACTGGATGTGAAGGTCTCTCTCAAAAAAAAGTCAGGATTGTATATTACTATTCCATATGATCATTTTCCCCAAATATCAGATTTTTCCTGTTACTAAAACTTAATTTGAGCCTGAGAGGGCTAATTCACTTTGCATTGAAAAAAACATCACCTCTCTCTCTAACTGCTGCTGTCACACTCTTCATTTTGGTCTTAAAATGTTTACATTCACTCTATATGATCCTGCAATTTTTATTTTGCTATTGTGACTGTAAATCAAGATATTTACATTAATAACAGACAAATTAGGCGCCTTCTTTCCCCAGGGTGGCTTGCAGTGCTGGGAAGGTTACTTTTAAAATGTATTCCCCTACAGATTACAGATTACATAATCCAAAATGTCGTTTGTAACGGAATCCATTAAATTACTTAAAGTGAGTAACATAATCTGAATACTTTGGATTACTTGATATTGTTTTGCTTTTTAAAACTACATGAATGGAACAACTACATCCTGAAAATTCATGTTTTTTCTCTTCAAATTGGTTGAGCCCAAGTCTCCATGAACAGACTTTTGTTTACTGTAGAGAAGCAAAGACTAGGATCTGTTAACATGAGATCTTTTGTCTGCTAAAAGACAATTAAAAGCCCAGACTTTCCTCAACCGTAAAAAATATGTAATATCTGATGTTTTTTACTCAAAATTATGCAGAATCAGATTATTAACAACGACGATTATTAATGACCTCGTCCACTGTGTGACTGACACCACCAATGTTAACATGACGTTTATGTGGCTCTTATTGCACGTGTTCTATTTGGGTTTTTGGCAATTAGTGAAATTACCAAAATAAAAAAAATTAAAAAAGGGAATAGCCCAAAATGTGAAAACAGGAAAATACCGCCATGTAATCCATTTATTTCAACAAAGTAACTGTAATCCAATTACCACTCACTGAAACAGTAACTGTAACTGAATACAGTTACTCATAATTTGTACTCTGATTACATAATGCCGGTGCATGTAATCTGTTACTCCCCAACACTGGTCGCTTCTTAGCAACAGATCTGATTGACAGTGTTGCTAAGTACCCGCTCCCTGCTAAACCAGAGGTGCAGTGATCACCTTCAACAGTCTCACTCTTAACTGGCTCTTCAGTTGCTGTTGAAATTCCTAATATGGAACTCAGCTCCATATTTGCTCCTAAAACTACCAGCCTTGATGAGCTTCATTTGACTGAGGCCAAACACTATGAGTGATGTGACATTCACTTTTACACATGGACCAGACTCAGTCCTGGGATGGGACCACTGTGTCTCCATAGTGTTACTACTTGAAAGTGAAAGTACCAGCCTGTCACTTCTTAATGTGAGATGTTTGATGTTTGTCGGGACCGACCTGAGTCTGACCTGGGCCGATGTAGAACTTTTGCAGGACGTTGATGAGGAAGTCCTGCACCTCGTACCAGGGGTAGATGGAATTTGAGCCATCCAACACGATCACGATGTCCATGAACGTCTCACACCCTGAACACAGCACAGGAGACTGTTAGATCTTCAGGACACTGTACGATCTGATCATGAGGGTTCAAGTAAAATCCCTTTCACTTTTCCCAGAGAAAGTGAAGAGCAGTTTGTTTTAATTTATTTATTTGTCTATGTCACATCATGAATATTAAGTTTGGTACCTGATGATGTTTGTTTAAAAGTTGTAATGGTGCTGTAATGTCATGTTTTTGTTATTGCTGTTGGTTAATTTTATTTTTGTTTGCTATATGAAACATAATTTACTAAACATTTATTTATTTATTGTATTTATTTTATTTATTTAATGTATGTATTTATTAATTTATTTATGTATTTTATTTTATTTATTATTATTTGTTTTGCATAATCCTCATCTGAGTCTTCAAATGTGATTCCTCTGTGCAGTCAGTACCTTCTTTGTAAGTCAATAGTAGAAATAAATGAGAATTTTACTTCCAGATCCAGAAATGTCCGTCCACCATCACCCTCGTGTTTAGTTCAATCCTCCATAAATGTACAAATGTACAAATAAACAAATGCTTGATTAAATAAAAGAATGAAAGTTGTTTACTCTGCAGAGCGGGGGCGATGGTGTGCGAGAGCCTGAAGTTGCGTCCGACGCGTGTGCAGATGCCGGTGCTGTAGAGGGAGCTCCCGCACTCATGAGACCAGAGAGGACCACACGTCTGAGCAGAGAAGAAGAACAAGAAGAAGAACAAAAGGACAAAAGGACACGTTTAGAAGAATGACAACGATAAATGTGTAATAAGCCATTGTCTCAGTTTTATTGAATCATTCTTTTGTTTCTTTTGGAATGTTCCACTGTTTGACTTTAAACTATTCTATCTCTATGAAGACACGCAATTTACACGAGCAGGCCAAGTTACAGATCAGATCTCTGGAGGGGCAAGCTTAGTTACGATTAAGAGCATGTTTATTTTTAGTAATGTACGTGGAATTGAAAAAAAAGGAAGACAGAAAAGCTGGATGCCCTGACTAAATATGTCCTACTGTCATGATCATGTATTTAAGAACAAAGAATTACATGTACTAGACACATTTACTCGTTAAACAGTTTAAAGTACTGTGAGTTACTACATCCCAGAGGTGGGACTTGCAAGTCGTGACTTGGACTCGAGTCAGACTTGAGGCACTATTTTTGGGACTTGAGACTTGACTTGATAAAATCGATTAAGACTTGGGACTCGACTTGGACTTGAAGGTCAGTGACTTGGGACTTGAGGTCAGTGACTTGGGACATGACTCAGACTTGAGGCCTGTGACTTGAGAAGACTAAAACATATGTTTTTATAAAATACTTTCTCTTTTTACTTAATAAATGCAGTGCTGAATTTTACAGGAACAAACCGGAACATGTCCCTCCCACTTCTGTTTGGAACTTTGGATGGAACTGAAGTACTGTGATACTCAAATATACTACAGTAATATATAGTACAATACAGTAAAACAGACGAAATGACATAACATGATCCTTCCATTTCAGTGCAGACTACACACTTAATAATATAATATAATATATATATAATATAACTGTAATTAAGCACCTTTAAATCTGAATTCTTTCTATTCTGACTGAATCTTATCAAGACATTTAAAAAGGAAATATTTACATTTATGCTATTATGATATAAATACTCTAATATAAATATACCATGACTTTTTAAAGTGTAATTTATCTTCAAATTCATATGACTAGAATCTCAAAGCAGACGACTTGGACTTGACTTGGACTTAAGGGCCAGTGACTTGAGACTCGACTTGGACTTGCCTGTATTTGACTTTGGACTTGACTCGGACTTAAGGTCAAAGACTTGAGACTTACTTGAGACTTGTAAAACACTGACTTGGTTCCACCTCTGCTACTCCCTCATAAATACTCACCACAAAGCTGCTGTCTCTGGGGTTGGAGGTGAGACTCATGCCCAGCCTCATCCCGTCCTTCCTCTCCGACACGTTATCCAGCGACAGTTTACCTACACAACAGTCACATGTGACAAAGTACACAAGTGGGTAGTACTCATTTACTCTGTTACATTGTACTCAGAGTACTTTTCTATCAGCATACTTTTACTCCTACCCCTCCTGAGTAATATTTTTATTGACATACTCGAGCAAAAAAAGTCTAAACTGACAAAAGTTTTATGTGACAATATAAAATCATATGAAGATTTGTTTGTCTCATTTTTGTGTCTCTTCATCATCTCTTCATCTTTATTTCATATTTTGTCCTTCAAATGACATTAACTTTTTATAAATTGTGTTACATCCTGACACTTAAAGCTGAAGTATAGTTCTGCGTCGACTCAACGTGCACTGCCGCCGTCGCCTTGTCGCCGTCGTTTTTGATTTATGGATCTGCGTCGAGGTCTGTGCACCGTGAAGTAATTCACCGCCAAAACGCTAGGGGGCGACGATATCTGTCCATTCATATATACGGTCTGTGTGTGCGACCTGCAGACGTATAATCTCTGAAAAGTTTAACATGAACCATCTCTAACACGACAAAAGCACAGAACAGACTCACCATTAGTACAATGTGACTCTGTCAAGGAAAGACACTCATATTCCACTGAGTCCTGTTCTTTTTAAGTCCGACAGACGCTGTCTGTGTACCAGGAGTGAGCTGTTTTTTTGAGTGTTTAGTTTATGTAAGTTAGCCATGCGGTTTTAAGTTTCGTTTCTGTAAAACGTAAACACATATGCGCAAAGCTGCACTAAACACTTTATTTCTCAATATATACTGAAAGAAAGAAAAGCCGACAGGAAATGTCTACAGAGCGGTGGTACGGAGGACCAATCACAGCTCTTATCATCTGCGTCGCTTCCCCTGCTGTCTGCGACGTTTTGACGCGTAGGGGGTATGCGTCGACGCAAACTCTCTGCGTCATGACGCAAACAATTTGACGCTGGACCATAAATTGGTCTTTACTCTTTAAATTACTCTCACTTACTTCTGAGGAGTACTTTTCCAAATATTTTTTTACTCTTACTTGATTCTCTTAATTTGCTGAACTACTTTGTACTTCTACTTGAGTAATATTATTTTGAAGTAACATTACTCTTACTTATGTACAATTGTTGGCTTCTCTACACTAATTGTCACTTTGAAAACATTTTACGTAATTCAACTTATAGAATTAAAGTCGTATAAAAAATTGATTTTTGGGATAGAAAAATTAAATAGTAAATAGCAACGTTTGGGCTTTTTTCCCCCTAATATTAATCCGTAAAAAACGCAATATATTAAACACAAAATGTTGGCTTTGAGTGAACAAAATGACCACTGCAGTCAGTTTATCCTCCGTCCTTACCCAGGTTGAGTCTGGAGCAGTTCACATTATTCCTGACGTCCAGAGGGCACCTGAACACATCTCCGGTCTGTTTTTTCCCAGTGGACTCGAAGGGGGCCCCCACCAGCAGCCTAGAGTACACACACACACACACACACACAGGCACATTACAGGCCTACAGTAGATCCAGGGTTTAAGCACTTTACACCAAAGACGACGGTTCAATAAACAGGAAGCTCGTCACAGCAGGGGGCCGCCTTTGAGAGCGCCGCATTCACTGATATAAAACCCACGCTTCTTCGGTCTCTGTCATTAAAGGCTTTGTGAATCAGATTGTGGAGAATGTAAAACTTCAGGTAGCAGTCTGAGCTCCAGTAGCACTCTGGGTTTACCGCAAGGAAATGTGTTTAATGACTGAGAAACAACGAGAACAATAGATGCTCCTGTTTCAGTTGTTCAGCTGAAGAGTGAAGGCAGTTTAAAGCTCCTCTATTACACAAAATGAACTCTTGTGGTGTTACTATGTCAAAAACACACCTGGAGTTGTTTTGTTTCATTCACACATGTTTAAGTAACTCTTTATTATCACTCTGTCTACATCTCCAAAGCTCAAAATACTCTGTTCCACCTTCTGAGGTCATGAAGTGGTAGTTTTTAAGTTAGCAGCAGTAAATAGGCAATTCCAGAGCTGAAGTCATCCAAATGATTCTAGTGAAGGTATATGGAGTTTAAAAACACAGTGGAGCACTTGTTTTTAATGAGGAAACATTATAACAGATGAGAAAATAGTGTTTTATGAGCAATTTAAGATCTGAAAAGACTGAACTGAGTCTGGACTGTGTGTGGACTTTAAAGATGCCACCTGCTTGTATCCATGGAGATTAAGGAGCACCATTTGCCCAACTTTTTGAAACAAAATTGAAACTCAATCTGTACCTAGTATCAGTTTTTACACCTGCCAAAGTAAAGTTCCATGAGAAATTTCATGAAATTCTCTTGATGTTTACTGGTTTCACCAAGACAAGTTTAGTGTCTGCAGAAGCCTTAAATCTTAAAGTCTTAAATCAAAAATAATTTATTTAGTCCAATACTATCAATGGAAGTTGAATATAAACATGGACATTGCAGATCATTTGGTACCAGTTTTATGTCTCCGTCATCATTAGTTTTTGAGATATGGCAAAACTGTAATTTCTTTGGGACTTCAAGGAATAAGCAATAAAAATAATAATTAATAAAACAAAAAAATTATATTTATATAAAAAATAAATAAAACACACACACACACATTATTTTTCAAGTTATTTGAGAAAAACTGATTTTCAGCCTGAGCTTTTATGGACACTGTTAAGATGGAGCTTAAAAGTCTTGGTGGACTCAGTAGATTTAGTTCAGTTGAGCAAATATTCCACAGATTTTTCTTTTATTTGGTATTGTCACATTTTAAAATTGGGTACAAGTTGAATTTCTGACATTGTGGCAAATGACGCAGCCTAATGGAGATGTTATTGCTTTGTCTGGAACATTCCTCGAGATCCATGGATTTCAGAGTGATGAAAAATGAGCACTGTTGCCATAGCAATAAACTAACTTCATAACATCGTATCAACTCATGTATCTTGCATTTCTTCAATTCCAGATGTTTAAGTGCTCAAAAATCCCTTGAAAATAATACTGTGCATGGGCTCGCCACTCCGCAGCTCTCACCTGTAACTTGGCCTGCGTCACCTGTTGTCCCCATGGAAACAGATAAGTGTAATGCTAAAGAGTGGCATTCTGGGTAAAGCAGATCCTCTGCCAGAAAAGTTACATAATGTCCCTTTAAAAACACAGTTACCAAGACGACAGAGAGGGAGATGAACTAAATATGCTACATTTCTCAAACTAAAACATTAAATAATAGAAGAAACAACACCAGGCTGCTGTTGTTCAAAACTGGTGTTGTTCAAAACTTCAAAATCCTGTTTTGTAGGACCTTGAATATTTGTCAGCACGTCCTGTCGTACAGAAGCATTTCCCCGTCTGTTATGACAGGACTATTGTTCATCATGTGTCTCGGTGCAGTCTAAGGTCAGCAGCCAGAGCCCCACTGTTTTTAGCGTGAAACCAGTAATTAGTCTGCTCCGGAGTAAACATCTCCACATGGAACGGGCTTCTGGGAACAGACGTTAGTCACCTCCGCACCGCAACGTTTAGTTTGCTAATGTGTCGCTGTGAAACTCCAACCTGTCCCAGACCACTCCCCCAGGCCCCAGTGTATGAAGAACCAGACTGAACTGAACCAGGACTGAACCAGGACTAAACCAGGACTAAACCAGGACTCGTCCTGGGTTATAATCAGAGTTACAATCATGGCATCTTAGACTTAAGCATTGCCCACTTCATTTAAAATAGAATGGAACAAAACTGGGACTAAACTGGAACTAAACCAGTGAATTATTCAAAACCCTCCACTAAATAATAAAATAACCTCTCTAAGAACAACAAACCAGGACTAAACCAACAGTCCTGAACTTAACTGGACTTTAACCCAGACTAAAGCAGGATCTGAACCAGGACAAAGTCCAGTCTAAACCAGGGCTAATCCAGAATGGACTCAGCATTTAACCAGGGTTCAACTGGATTTCAACTGGATTTCTACCAGGACTAAACAGGAGTCAAATTAGTGACTACACCTGATGGCTACTCCGGGACTAAACCAGGACTAAAACAGGTCCAGGCCAAATCACTTCCTGTGACCTCACTAGAGTCATGTAGAGTTCCTGAGCAGGTGCTCAGTGGAACTGTAAGTATAAGAGCAGAAGCTGTAATGAGCCTGTAAAGTGTACAGTGCAGTCACCAGGAGACATTAGTCACAGTTTCCTGCTCCTGTGCTCTGTGTTTACTTGTGCTTCTGGTCCATTGTAGATGATCATAATTAAAGCCAATAAACTCCTCATCTGCATTTTTCTTAATCGAGGTCAAAACAAAAGTCTGAAACAGGGCCTCATGTGTTGGATAAACATTAAAGACAGTTGATCATTTTGAGAACAGGGCTTTATTGGATACAGACTTTCATTTTACCCTTTATTTAATAAGGATAGTCCCACTAACCACACAGAGGGCCCTGATGTACAGGATGGGGAGATGGACTGAGGCAGGCACAGGGAGAACATGCAAACTCCACAGAGAAAAGAGCCTAGGATCTTTTTGCTGTGAGGCGACAGGGCTAACTGCTGTGCCACTGTGGAAGACGATAGTATGAACATGTTTTATTTTCACATTCATTCACTGAATGAACATGAGAAGTGTTTTTATTAGATTCCTGTATTCTGCAAACAGTTAGAGTAAAGATGCAGAGGGCGCTGTAGACCGCATCTGCTGTCACTCAAACATGAAGCTGTTTGTATGAAGCTAAAAACATTCTCAGCTTCAGTTCAGATGGTAAACTTCTGAATACAGGCAGTTTGAGCACACTGATGTTTTGTTGTTCTCCTCTGGAGAGGAAGCATTCACTCTGAGAGAGCGGCGCTTGGGTCGCTGTCAACCTGACCTATGACCTTTGACCTATAGTTAATAAGGCCCCTGAGGTTAAGCAGCAGAGCTTGGAATTGTGTAAAGAAGCACAAGTATCATGTAGGATTATTTCTATGGACGACTACTGCAGGGCTGCTGTTTCTCTGACAAGACACTTTGGATCAACTTTATATGAGTGACACATCTCCTCCTGGCTCTCTGTGTGTGTGTGTGTGTGTGTGTGTGTGTGTGTGTGTGTGTGTGTGTGTGTGTGTGTGTGTGTGTGTGTGTGTGTGTGTGTGTGTGTGTGTGTGTGTGCGTGCGTGCGTGCCTGCGTGTGTGTGCTGCTCCAAAAGCTTCCTCTGCTCTAATCCTTCACAGTGTCTTTAGTCTCAGGTGGAGGAGCGTCGCTGTAGCACCAGTGAGCGCGAGCGGATTTATGGACCTCTGTCCACTTGAAGCTTGTTGTCATGGAAATAAGTTTGTTGTCATGAGTCGTGGTGTTTGGGGGATTGATGAGCGGTGTATGTGAACAAGACCAAGTCTAATGTAAAGTAAACAGAACTAAATGTAGAGCTGCTGGGGTCAGTGCACAGAGCGCTTCAACATGTGTGAACAAGACTTTAGTGTGAGCGGTGTGAAACAAACACGTGAATGAAACAAAACACAACACTGCAAATGGATTATGGGTGGAAGTTCATTTAGCAGAATAAACCATTTGAGTTGAGATGCAGCCACATGTTTGCACAGTGTTGATAGATGCTATAGATCCTCACGCTCCACAGTTTGCCTTCAGCCTGAGATGACAAAGAGTCAATGACATATCCTTTATTTTGAAAAGTGCTTATCTGTTGACTCACACAAAGCTTCACGTACATCACCATGATTCAGTGTGAAACATGTTTAATGACACACTCAGAGTCACTGCCCCTGTCCATGTGTTTTCAACAGACCTGTCATTTAACATCAGCACCATGAAAACTCTGCTGTTTGGAGGAAAACATGTTCAACACAACATGGACCAGCTCAGATGATCTCTTCTAAATCACAAACAAAAGTACTATCACTTACAGTTTATGAATTAAAACTACCATGAAATACAGTCAATTATTCTGTACACCAGTGGCAGAGTGTGCATTCACACCTAGGCCTCCAGTAGTGCTCCGTCTGAAACAATTCTCAATACTCCTCCTCAAGAACTATTTGATGGTTATAAAAGCATCTTATTATACAGAAACACAGTTTAAAGAGCCATGGAGATTCTGTGCACGGAGAAGTGAGGAGAGGGGGGCACGCGGCGCACTGAGAAGAAGTGAGGAGCTCTGGGATGCTAAACCAGGACTAAACCAGGACTGTTTGTCAGGACTAGCCCGAAGGTGCGCCCGCGTAGACTGTTGGGTGACCACAGACAAAAGGACCATGCCACACAGGGCGGCTCCGTGCCGCACGCGCCCGTCCCGCACGGGGCCACACAGAGCTCAGTGCAACTGTCGCCTAATGGCGCTTTGCGGACACTCTGCTCCGTTGTTTCAGGGGTTCTCTCTCTTGCTCTCTTCCAAGTCCAATATTAGACCTGGTTTAGTCCTGGTTTAGTCCTGGTGTAGACCTGGTGTAGACCTGGTGTAGACCTGGTGTA